TTCATGTCTAAAGCTCATCAACCAACGAAGTTTTAATACAGAGAAACAAAAACTACCTATATCAGAAAAATATAAGTTTAACTGTTCAATATGGTTTCGTATATTTTATTAGTGTGGACATACTTCAAAATTAATAAAAATTATCTTTATTAAAAATATTTTTAAAATATATAATTATATAGTATATTTTTAGGCGATTGGAGCAACTTTAGAGCAAAAGAAATTGTGAATTAAGCCGTCCGTCAAATTGACTGCAAAAAACCGCCTAAACAGTACATTAATTCAAAACTAACTATGATTTGATTCTGTTTGTTTTGGATTGGTCGAGTTTTGTGGTTCAATGGTTCTTACATGCCGCTAATGACTCATGAAATACTAATCATCCCAAAAACTATCCACGCGTTTGTTCTCACAATTAAGCGCAGCATTGATTTAAGATTTATTGGTCCTGAATATATTCATAGCATGATTAATTTGCAATTTATTCGTCTTTAATATTGGCAATAATTAGTGGTAAAGATGAACTTGCTACTGGCAAGTAGAGAGTCTAATTTTCTTGTTGGTTATGGTCCTTGCAAGCATTAAATTACAAAGTAACATCAATTAACATTATTCAATTCATATTTCTCATTCTATGTACTAAGGAAATGATTTAAACACCGAAAGAATATCTCGTAGTTTTTTCAACTGGAATTATAAGACTTGATTTTGTTAACAAAAAAGAAATATAGGAATACTCCTACATATATGTGACAAAAATAATATGAAGATATACAAGTATAAAATAAATAAAAACCAACTAGTAGCGCACAGATGGTCATATAACTTGATATGATATCAAAATAAAATAAAATGTGCATTTATTTTTTCTAATATGTATAACTGTACTTGAAACTATGTAAAAAGACATATAGTAATTTTTTTTTTTTTTAGCAATTGCATATATTTGTCATGCAACTTTCACCAAACCATCTGAAATGGCATTATTTGAGTAAGTCTCACAATTATTAAAGAACATGAGATATTCTCATGAACAAACGTGATAAACAAAACTATCGTTTTCTCCCCACAATAAAAGAGTACTCGAAAGGGAATTCTTGGAACCCTCATACAATTATCAATTTTCAGTTAAAGTTTTGGGATGCGAGAATTTTCAATTAAAAGCCGGTTTAGTTTATAGATTTGAACAAAAAATTCAAATTTTTATAAAAATGAATATATAATAAAAAAGTTTAAGATATAATTCAAACATATAAAACAAACACACCATAAAATATTATAACCGAGTACATCAACTATAATCGAGTCCACTCATAAGTGTTGATAGATTGTGCCTTCTATGGGTTAAAAGTTTTAATTTCTTTCCTCTTCAAAATTGAAGTGCAAATTGTTGGAGCCCCTTCCAAATGAAATTATTCTCAAAATAACCTCTGTAATTTCCTCTAGTAATAAAATTGAGACAAATTTGTTAAGAGATTAGGTAATTTCCAAGGTTGCTTCCCTAATTTATCTATAAACGTTCTAGCAGTCAATGAAGCCTAACAAACTGAAATTCTTTGTTGATCATAGATATATATCATCACAAATTTTAGTAGATAATAGCATTTCCCTTCCATAGTATAGGAGTCTGAAAGGAATAGATGGGTATTGAACCTGAGCAATAACAAGCTTATCAACATCTAAAATGGGTTTTAATGATTCAAAAGACTTACAAACTACCAATATACCACGACCAAATTTACCAATTCACCAAACAAATTTTTGATAAAAACCAAAATCAAATTAACGAGTCAGAAGTACACAAAGCAAAGTTCACCAACCAAATTTTTTTCGTGTCTAAAGCTCATCAACCAACAAAGATTTAGTACAAAGAAGCAAAAAGTACCTATATCAGAAAAATATAAATTTAACTGTTTAATATGGTTGTGTATATTTTTTTAGTGTGGAACATACTTCAAAATTTATAAAAATATTTTTAAAATATATAATTATATACTATATTTTTTAGTGATTGGAGCAATTTTAGACCAAAAGAAATTGTGAATTAAGCCGTCCGTAAAAATGACAGTAAAAAACCGCCTAAATTGTACATTAATTAAAATTTAATAATGATTGGATGCTGTCTGTTTTGGATTGGTCGATTTTTGTGATTCAATGGTTCTTACATGCAGCTAATGACTCATGAAATACTAATAATCCCAAAAAATATACACGTGTTTGTTCTCACAATTAAGCGCAACATTGATTTAAGATTTTTGGGTCCTCAATAGATTCATAGTCTTTAATTTGCAATTTATTAGTCTTTAATATTGGCGATAATTAGTGGTAAAGATGAACTTGCTATTGCCAAGTAGATAGCCTAATTTTCTAGTTGGTTATGGTCCTTGCAAGCATTAAATTACAAACCAACATCAATTTAACCTCATTCAATTTGTACTAAGGAAATCATTTGACAAACCAACGTCAATTTAACTTGCAATTGCATATATTTGTCATGCAACTTTCACCAAACCATCTGAAATGGCATTATTATGAGTAAGTCGCACAATTATTAAAGAACATGAGAAATTCTTAGGAACAAACGTGACAAACAAGACTATCGTTTTTTCCCCACAATAAAAGAGTCGAAAGAGATTAGATAAAATTGAGTCAATTTTTTGTTAAGAGATTAGATAATTTCCAAGGTTGCTTCCCTAATTTATCTGTAATCGTTCTAGCAATCAATGAAGCCTGACAAACTGAAATTCTTTGTTGATCATAGATATATATCCTCACAAATTTTAGTAGATAATAGCATTTCCCTTCCATGGTATTGGAGTCTGCAAGGAATAACAAGCTTATCAACATCTAAAATAAATTTTAATTATTCAAAAGACTTACAAACTACCAATATACCACGACTGGATTTTTCATCCTTTGGTTGTTACTTTTGTCCGTATTCTCATCAAAATTTCACTTTTCGGACAAATTTAGATTTTTTTTATTGAGCTATATTTTTCCCTTTTTTTTTATTTATTGCGGAACATAATGAAGGCATTTGTTCCATTGACAATTGGCATATTTACGGCCAATAGCATTGCAATTATTAGAGAATATTGACAAATTTTCATTATCAAATGTGATAAATGAGAAATATATAGTTTTTTTAAGGATGAAAATATCGATATTGGTGAAAATATTAGTACTCCAAATTTAAAGAATTTTCTAAAAAAATATAGATATCGGTGGAAATGTCAAAAAAAACATTGTGCAATCTAGGAAGATTTATTTTAACGCTTAATATTTCTTTTTAATATCTTATAAAATGATAAACATAAAAAAAGTACATAAATAAGAAAAATTGTACAAAAACAATATAATAGAAACTCTACAATGTTGATATTTTTACCGATATATTCCGATATTTACTGAAATTTTTCCAAAAGCTTGCAAAATTTCTATAATATTTCGGAAACTTCCACCAAAATTTCATAATTTTTAACATCCCAAAATATCTTTTAGGAATAAAAAAAATTTCTCCCAAAATTTCTAGTAAATATCAGAGAAATTCTTTTACATCTAAAAATATTTTGGGACCTTAAAATTACGGAAACATCGGTAAAAATTTTTGAAATATCGGAAAAAATTTCAGTCATGTATGAAAGTGCGGAGGAGAATTATGTTTTTTTATAGGAAATATTTATTAAATCACGCCAACTTCAACTTCGCTGACTTAGCAGCCACAATATTTGTGTCCCGAGTCGGAGGATTTACAACCTTGCGTGGAGTGCTGGTTACATGGGCCCACATAATGAATTTATTTTGTTTATTCATTTTAATTTCTTAAAATAAAAAATGTTAAAGTGATAATTCGCGATTTATTAGCCTTTAAAACTCTCGGTTTTTATTTGTTCTCGGTATATGGTCCTTGCAAGCATTAAACCAACGTCAATTTATACTAACTCATTAACATTATAAACTAAGGAAATCATTTCAAAACGGGATATAGACTCCAATGGCCTGGCTTCTTGTAACGCCTTAACTCCTCATGGAGTCTACGTTGCCGGCTCCAACATAGTCGGGTATTATACTTGTTACTCATATGTACTATCTTCTATGAACACTTAGTGACCGTTAGAGATTTTTTTGCGTCCCCCTACACTTGAACCTAAAACCTTCCTCCTTATAAGATTCTTAAGTCAATTGTTTGTATCAATTGACCTTCAAGATCATTGGTACAAAAAATTAACCTCAAGATTAATTGGTAAAAGAAAATATAGCAAAGCAATGCCACAGGAGTTACAAGCAAATTAAAGAGAAGCCGATACTTAGTGGTTAGAGTGGGAAAAAATGCAAAAGAGAAGCCGATACTTAGTGGTTAGAGCGAGAAAAAATTGCATTTTTTTAATAAAAGTTTTAGAACTTTAAAGACTGTTTTGTTTAAGTTTATTATGTTGCCCCCTAATTTGTATAAAGCAGTCACTTAACCCACATGTAATTGAAAATGTGAAAATAAAATTCACATTTCGTGGACATAAATATTAAAGTTGCAACGTATAAAAAATTTAAGAGTTAATTTTGCGCCATTTTAAATTTTAGAAGGCAAAATGAGACTACCCTTATTCTTTAAGGGCCACATTTAAAACTAACCTTTAATTCCTAGATAAAATAAATCTGTTGTATGTAAGCTAGCATAGTATTATCTCATTGAAGAAAAAAAAAAGAACCATAATATATTCACAATTAGCACGTGAGATATGTATATATGCCAGCCTTCTAAAATTTTGTCTTGTCTCATGCAAATGAATAAATTAATTTCGTTGGTTGTGTGATTTTATTAGCACCAATGCTAATTTAAAGCCCGCAATAAAACAATTTAATATATAAAAAACAATATTCGTTAACAGTTTTTTTTATTTTTTTTATTTTTTTTTACTTTAACATTGTTTTCTATCAATTGTAATTTCACACGTTGGAGGTGTATAAATAGAGCACTTCACAGAACGCAATATCATGCAGATTTAAGAATGGCAACTCACCAAAGCCTTCTTTTCAATTTGCTGGTTGTGGCCTATTTGCTAACATGCAGTGAAGGAGTACAAGAACAACTAAGCAAGAATAGTTTTCCTCCCGGTTTCGCATTTGGAACAGCATCGAGTTCTTATCAGGTACGTTATCGAGATTTCGCAATCATATATTCTCCAGATTTTTCGCACGCTTACGAACATTTCCTATGTTTCATACCATTGCTAATATGTGTCATTGATGACATTCTTTTGTAACGTGCATGTTTAATTTGTTTCCTTTGTCAAAGTATGAAGGAGCAACAAGTATAAAATATGGCAGAACAGCCAGTATATGGGATACCTTCACGGCAGAATTTCCAGGTCTATACAATATTTGTTAAATTTTTATGATTATATTAAGGAAATGATGTTGTAGTACTAAGTTGATACTTAATTATATGATAGATCTTCTATAAACAGCACGAGTTTTTTTTTTATCAATATATATATATATATATATGCGTATATATAGAGGGACCTACAGAATCCATATGATAAATCTCAGTACAAAGTGAAAGTTTCGTAAAGGCTTAAACACGAAACGAATTCTTTCAATATTCAAGCAATATTATTGATACTATATTTTCAGGAACAAAATATTATTGGTAGCATGACTACCATTCTTTTTGCAATATTTCTTTTGGAAGGTTTCTCATATTCACTGTTATATTTCCCAAAATTTCATAGAAACAATTTACTACAATCTCCTGTGAAATGAGCTTCGGACTATTGTTTTATTCTTATTTTGGCCTTTTTTTAATGTTGTTTTCTGTTTTTTATTTTCAAGATGTTATGTCACAGTTTCTTTTATCTTATGTAATTTTAAAACTTTCTTATTAATAATATTCGAGTGATAGACTTGGTAAAGGAAAGATTTTTAGAGGGGTGTCTGTCTAGTTCGGATGTCTCACCGAATCTAGATACTAATTGTCTATTTTTCTCAGTTTATCAATATATATATATATATATATGTATGCATGTATACTACAATCTGAATAAAATAAATATTTTTATTGATAATTTTTCCAATTTCACCTAAATATTATTTTGATTTTTTTCAGAAATTTTTACGGCCAGAAAATATATAAATATATATATATATATATGTATACTACAATCTGACTAAAATAAATATTTTTATTGATAATTTGTCCAATTTCACCTAAATATTATTTTGATTTTTTGTTCAGAAATTTTTACAACCAGAAAATATTTTTGGACCTTGAAACTTAAATGAAGATATCAGTAAATATTGAGAATATTTTAGCCCATTGTCGCACTTATGAAGAAAAACTTAAGCCAGGAAAACACCCTAGATTATTATCATCAATAATTTGCTTTTTTTTCATATTTTACGATTTAACAAATTAGCTTTTTATATTTTTCATTATAGTTAATAACCTTTTAAATTTAATAAAGTGTTGCAAAGCACACTTAAATTGATGTTGACTTTTAGAATTCGGATGAAAATGCTAAGTTTAAGGACACCCAAAAGAATTTCGAGTGATGATAATGTACCGAATCTCAACTATATTTCCTCCTATTAACAGCCATCTATATATGAGTTTGGGGATTTGCAATATTTTATGAAATTGAAGGTGTAATCATTAAGTTGAATTCACTAAACTTAAGTTGAGGCGGCGAAAATACTAAAAATTCTATTTATATTTATTTCTGATAATATATAACAAATATATATAATATTGATTCCATTATTGTTTTTTTGCTTGAAAATTGATTCCATTATTTATTTCTCTATAAAATTGACAGAAAAAATAGCTGATGGCTCATCTGGAGAAGTTGCCAACGATTTCTACCATCGTTATAAGGTATTAAGTGTTTATTGTATAAACGTGTCCCAATTACGGCGACATCGGTTTTTTTTTTTTTCTTTTTTTCTCTCTTCTTATTGAAGAAATTGTACCAATACACAGATAGTACTCATGTGAACTGAGAGAAGGAATAACTATATCAGAAGATGGTACTCATATGCACATAGACATGACTAAGACAAAATTATAACAAAAAAAAAAAGCTTTCAATTTTAGTTTAAACCCAAAAATTAACGCAATATAAGTATTGTATTTACCCACTTTTCATTGAATTTAAAATGATACAATAAGAATGGAGACTTTGGTACAAGATTAGATAGTAAGTGGGTGTCAATCATCCTAATTGGGATATACTAATTACTTTTTATCAGTTTTTCCCTCTTGAAAATTATTTAAAAAAAAAATTTGATTGTATAATAAGAACTGTACAATGAGCATTGCTAAATCATTTTTACAAAATAGAGTTTTTATTTTATAATAAGACATGCATGTTGAAAGAAGTAGAGATGATCGTCTCTACTCCAAATCACATTTTTATTACAAGTGGGTTTTTTTTTTTAAGAAGAGATTAAATAATATAATATTTGTTACTTCATCATGCATCTTCATAGTAAAAATAGACAAAAAAAAAAAAAAAAAAAAAAAAAAAAAAAAAAGCATGGGCGAAGGTCGCATTGTAAAATACATTGATTTTGTTTCTTAGATACTAAATCTATTGATTATAAACTCATCGGTATAAATAAAATATTGTGATTTTTACAGGATGACATACCTGTGATGAAGGAGATCGGTTTTGACTCTTTTAGACTCTCATTTTCTTGGTCTAGAATATTACCAAGTAAGTCATTAGGTAGCTGATGATATAGTAAAATTTTAATTTCCTTTTTTGAACTTTGAACATACAATAAAATTGTAAGAAACCATTGATAACTCGTCTGTATATGTATATATAGAGATTTCTCCTTATAAAACTTGCGAATATTTCCACAAACTGAATCTTAATTTTGTTTATAGGAGGGACAATTAGTGGAGGAGTGAACTTTGATGGCATCAACTTCTATAACAACCTCATAGACGAACTCTTGCAAAATGGTTACGTTCCATTGACATCTATAGCATTTAAATTCACGACTTGTCAACATTCTCAATAGATGCAAGCCATTTAATTTCTTTTGCACATTTTTTCTAAATTTTTTTTGCTGATTTTGTAACGATTATGCAGGTATAGAGCCCGCCGTGACTTTGTTCCATTGGGATCTTCCACAAGTCCTTGAAGATAAATATGGTGGATTCTTAAATCCGAGCATTGTGTAAGACATACAATATTCATAGTACACATTTATGACTTTCTACACAGAAATAAACATACGTACGTACATATATATGCCTGTAATTTTCATCAAATATAATTCAATTTATTTATAATAGGGAGGATTATCACGATTATGCGAACCTGTGCTTCGCACTATATGGTGATAGAGTGAAACACTGGACCACTTTCAATGAGCCATACATTTTTTCAGCTCAAGGGTATGAGCGTGGTGTTATGGCACCAGGTCGTTGTTCTGATTATGCTGGAAATTGCCCATTTGGGGACTCGGCAACTGAACCTTATAAAGTAGTTCACCACATACTACTTGCACATGCGGATGCGGTAGACTTGTACAGGAAGAAATTCCAGGTTAGTCATGTTAATCTTAATTAAAAGAAAATAAAAAAAAAATGAAAGTTTCTCTGGTAGGATCCAAAAAATAAATTATCAATAATTTTCTACTTTTAGCTGTCATATATATATATATATATATCTCTCGTAGGATCCAAAAAATAAATTATCGGTAATTTTCTACTTTTAGTTGTCATATATATATATCAAAAATTGTCTATTCTATACTTTTTTCAATCTAACGTGACTTTAACTAGATTCAAATGTTAGAAATTAACCGTACTGGCTGGTGTCGGTAAGGAGAGTTTATCGGAGAAAGTCCCAAATAAATTACATGGTATTAATTAAGAATTATAAAGCCTATGCTCTTTGCTCCTTTCAGGTAACTCAAGAGGGAATCATAGGAATAGGGGATGTAAGTCATTGGATGGAACCAAAATTCCAAACGCCCGAAAGCCGCGATGCTGCTAAGAGAGCTCTTGACTTTATGATTGGATGGTAAGATTTCTCACGCATAATCATATTCTCTAGGCATCTTACGAGTACTGATGCTTACTTGAAAAATTATTGAAATTTCTACTCATTCTAGACCTAAAAATTGGGGATCGAGCACCGTTTCAGCTTAGGGCTAGTTCAGCCTGACCCAAAACAAATATTTTATAAAAACTATATATATTTCTAAAACAAAACCTTAATCCGGCCACGTCGGCCCATTTAGGATTTTATACATAAATCTTCGATCTTGTGTCTTCTATCATGAGTATTAGAATCTCACATTGGTTGAAGATATTAGCATGATCCACTTAATAAGGTAAGGGCAATCCTCTCCTAACAAATCGATTTTGTTAGGTTGAGTTAGGCCCAATATCCTTTGATTTCTGTAAAATGGTATCAGAGAAGATCCAGTTTTGCAATGTTGGGTCCCCCAATATCGACTTATTCGCAACGGTTTGGCATAGTCCACACTGTGCGTGAGGGGGCGTATTAGAATCTCACATTGACTGGAGATATTGGCATGATCCACTTAATAAGGTGAGGGTAATCCTCTCCTAACAAACCGGTTTTGTTAGGTTGAGTTAGGCCCAATATCTTTTGATTTCTGTAAAAATGAGTTACATGATACATGTATATTTTGATTATGTTTATTCAGGGTTTTTGATCCAGTAGTGTTTGGAGACTATCCAAAAACCATGCGATCTTTGGTTGGAAGTCGATTGCCTAACTTCACCGAAACCCAATCAGAACTTTTAAAAGGGTCATACGATTTCTTGGGTTTAAATTACTATACTGCAAGGTATGCCGATGATTCCAATGACGACGCAAGCAGTCGTCCTCCAAGGCCTGCAAATGATATGCGTGTTAATCTCACTTGTAAGCTCAACAATATTGACAAATACCTGATTTATGATTTATTAGCATTCTTTAATATTTTATAATATTTGTTGAAACAGTTGAAGGGAGCGATGGACGTCCTATTGGCCCACCGGTAATCTTATTCTCCCATTTGCTCTTATTTATTTATTTATTTATTTATTTTGGTTGATTCTTTTAAGCATACACACACACACACACACACACACACACATATATATATATATATATACACTTCTCATTCTACGTACTAAGAGAATCATTTCACAAATGCTGATCTAGACTCCAACATCCTGGCTTCTCATCTATCCAAAGGGATTTGAAGACTTGGTTTTGTACTTGAAAGATAAATACAATAATCCTCCTCTTTACATCCTTGAGAATGGTACGTAAGACAGATTTAAATGTATCTTTCTAGTAGTGATCCCTCTTGAATCCCCATATACATATATATATATATATATATATATATGTATGTATGTATGTATGTATGTATCTCACGTTAAAAGAAAGCAATGGCAATCTTATGAAACGAAACTTAAATATAGTCTTCGAAAACTATACCTATGCCATAAGTATATGTTTTCTTTTTATATCCTTTCTTTCAAAGAAACTCGTGAATTTATATCAGTTTGAATTTTTATCTTACTCTAATTTTATTTTGCTAGTATAATATAAACAAATTAATCCCTATGTTTTATCATTGTAGGAGTTGTGGACTCCCGTGATGATGATTGGTTGACCGAAGATCACGTGAGGATAAAATACTTTCAAGACCATCTGTTGCATCTGCTAAACGCTATAGAGTAAACTCTAATATTTGCTTTCAAATCAGTATTTAGGATTCGGTTTTTTTTTTTTTTTTAATCGCTTTTTCGGACATCAATAAAATTAAGTATCTTTAGCAAGAAAAACGACATCAACAACAACAATCATAATAAAGTATCAGAGATTTGCTTTCTCAAAAGTGGACATGCGCCTTTCGGTTTAAAAATTAATTTTTACTATTTGGTACATTTACTGCTTATTTAGACGGATAACTATAAAGTATAAAAAGAAGAACCTGCAGAAAAATCAATAACTATAAATTCAACTTTAATATATCCTATATTTGTTGCACCAGACGTGCACTGCCTTCATATATATATATATATATAATATTTATATGTGTGTTTTTCAACCATAGAACATGTTTAACTACTGAAAGGTGCTATTGTTTTTAACCATTAGATTTCCGATTTAGAGTTCTAGTAGTTTTGTGTCACATCTGCAGATTTTTAATGTGTAAATTCATAGATTAGACCATTAAAATTTCAATCTAATATATAGTTAAAACAACAATACCTATCAGTAGTTTAAAAACAAAAAAAGTCTTTCTGTAAAAGTTCTCATATATATATATATATATATATATATATATTATATAACCTGTTGCAAATTGGCTATGACAACATAATGCATAATGTATTTTTTTTTGTTACTAATCTATGCTTGTAAAGCTAAGATTGTTGAATAATGTTCCTTTGTATTGCACATTGTCGTAAAATATACTACAAATCTCTATCACATGAAAATATTCATTTGCATTTGTTTGATAGAAGCTTCAAGATGTACTGACCTACTGACCTAGTTGGGATGTCTTGTTTCTTGTTGATGCTAGTTTGCTTTTTATCGTCATTTATTAAAAAAAAAAAAAAAAAAAAGGAAATATACTACAAGTTAATAATGTTTTTACTTCAGGGCTGGAGCAGATGTGAGGGGATACTATGCTTGGACATTACAAGATTGTTTTGATTGGAATTCTGGTTTTACTAGTGAGTTTGGCCTCATCCATGTCGACCGTGAAAATAATTTGACGAGAACCAGAAAAAACGTTTCGAACTGGTTCCAGTATACCTTTTTTGGAAAATCAGAAAAAGTATTGGATCAGATTCAGCTGCCCACTTTGTTAGCATCCGCATAATTATTATGCTTTACGACTGCTAAGAAGAAAGACCTGAAAGTATTATAAGTAAAATAATAATCTATGCTACTTGCATTAAGTGAGTGAGAATAAAGGTCTTTGCATTGGAAATATGTATGTTCATAAAAATAAGTAGAAAAAAGTGTGTTGTGTAAGAAAGAGACTTAATGAAATAAAATATCTATGTTGTTTCCAGATATGATTATTTAAGTGGTATATTTTTTTCTTTTACTAAAGGTTTTGCTTTACCTACTTATGTTCCGAAGTTATTGTCATTATGATTTTTTTTTTTTGTCAAGAAATTCAGAGGAGAGAAACTAGCATATATAAATGAACACTAGTAAGCGAATCCTAATAATATTGGCACCCACAAAAGTTCTCGTCCCATACCGGGCACAAGTTCAATTTATAAAGGAAAAGAGAAACATATAAAATTAAATTAAAAAGAAAGAGTGAACTAGATAGCTAGTCAGAAGGACCATGCAAAAACAAGTTGAAAAGCGTTACAAATAAGGCATAAAGTTAAAAGGAAAAATATAGGCCGCTTTCAATTATTCGATTCGAGTTTCTAATTTCAATTTGTTACAGTGAAAAACTCTAAAAAAGTCACATTTAACTTTTTTTACTACAATAAAAAAACTCTCACAAAAAACTCAAATTAAAAAAAATCAAATAACTGAAAGAAGCCATAAACCTTCTATGGTTCTGGAATAATCCCACTTGAATAAGGAAATTAGATGACCCACAAATGAGAAAGTAATTGGGAAAGACCACGAGATCGGTCCAAAAGGTTGTGTTTAGTGACAGGTAAGGCTTATTGGTGGATCGGGATTCAATATTAGGATAATTAGGGAGACTATTATGTTCTCCATGTGCGGAGGGAATTCTGCCATTCTAAAAAAATAATAATCGTATTTCTAATGCTACGATGTTACATTACAATATCACTACAACAAATATCAATATCAGTAGCAGACTAAAAACACTATTAATCACTAGCAATAGCGTTTTTTAGAGCGTTAGAACAACAGACGCTATTATATGTCCTAAGAAAACATAACGTTTCAGGAGAGTTATAGAAAGCGCTATAGAATTGAAGTATTATAGCATTTAAGACAAGTTATTTTCATCCTCTTACAGCTCTTTAGCATGGCTACGATACAGATTAATAACTTTTTTTCCTCGTTACGTTCATATTGTTGTAACTTTTTAAAATTATTATTGATATCCTTTTGAATTCATTCAAATAAATGATAATTCCGAGATATGTGATATATCTAAATAGGAACATTCAAATTAAAACATAAAAACATTCAACATATCAATTGTTATCAGTATCTACCAAGTTGGCAATAAAATTACGTCTATAACATAATTCATACAATGTCTAAAACCTTAACGTTCAAAACAAGTAAAGAAAACAGAGAAGTCATATCCAAAACGTCTAAGTGCAATGGTGAAGTAAATCCTTCCATCTTGACAAAATGCTTCAACAAAAAAGTCATCTCCACCGTTTAACCTGTAAGAAAGTGATCCACGATCAAAACAATAATCAAACTCAACTAAAACTTCCACCATTTAACCTGTAATTAAAGCAAGAACTAGTTACACCATTCACAACTACATAGCCACATCCACATATGTTTTGCAGTGAATTAGAGAAAACATGGCTTCAATGATGCACTAGGTAAAAATTTAATGTCAAACTTATAAGACAGAGTATCTTACATATATTGTTATGTAGATCGAGAGATCGTACAAAGTAATCATAGGAGAGAAGGTGAAAGTTAGAGACCTTTTGCAATAATACAAAGTAATCAAAGGTAGTGTTTGCAACTTTATAATCAAAGCTTCCATTGATAAACATCATACAACTAAACAGCAGAACAACTTTTACTATAAAGGCAGAAACTTGTGAGCAAGAGCACTTGAGTTTCCCAAGACATTAACAAGTGCCTACAAGTAAACTCATATTTCATCTTCATTGCCAAGTAATAACACAATTAAAATTCTAATGTCCAAAGTAGGAATACTAACCTTTGAGAAGCTACGTCAAAATCTTTGAGAAACTACACTAAAGATTATAGATTCTTCACGGCTACACCTTAAGACAAGGCACCGCGACACTAATTTAAACATGTGTGGCAAAATAAGCAAATGTTAGCACTTATCACTAAATAAACCATTCACAAATTAAAGCTACAAAGAATTTCATTAATCAAAGGAAGAACTTCATTATCACAACAAAGGATTTAGCAAGGGACCCAATTAACTAAAAGAATCCAAAAGTACATGAGCAAAGAGTAGTCCTTTAAATCTGGTTTGAGTTTGACTTTCTCCCAAATTTCCAAGCTATCTTAAAATTCTATTTATCCGGAATTGGAGAGATGCTAAAATAGAGAATAAAAGAGAAAGGAAACACAATTAATGAGTTATCAATCTTAGGTACATCTTCCTCAGAACTTAGGAGTAATCAATTACTCTTAAAATAAAGCAAACTGAAACAACTAATAAGGTAAATTCTTACCAGTTTATAGTACTTGAACTCAAAGAAGTCCCAATAGTTTTTCTACTGTCAAAAAAATATAAAAAAAAAAAGCACTACAAGGGAAGAAAAAAAAAAAAAACTTCATATCCATCATATATCTACCTAAGTAGCTTTTTTTAGGTTGAATCAATATCTAATAACACAGCTAACTATTTGAATTCCCAAAATCCATAGAGGTAATTTACAAACACTAACCTTATGACTTGTTAGACTGAGGTATATGAATGAAAATGAATCACAAATGAGAAAGTAATTGGGAAAGACCACGAGATCGGTCCAAAAGGTTGTGTTTAGTGACAGGTAAGGCTTATTGGTGGATCGGGATTCAATATTAGGATAATTAGGGGGACTATTATGTTCTTCATGTACGGAGAGAATTCTGCCATTCCAAAAAAATAATTGAGGTTAAACCATTCCCGTAATACAATATAAACATGTTAAATGATTTTATTATATTAAAATTTAGATTAAATTAAAAAATAATAAAGTTGAATAATTTATACCAACAGGCGCTGTTGAATTTCTCTCTTATGCTGGATGTCCACATCCTTCTAGGCATCGTGGAAAGGCTTACAGACATCCCTAATATGGATTCCAATGGCACTATCAAACCAGGTGTCGTAGTTTCCATTAGGTATTAGCGACGACATGTCGTCGCTAATATGCCGTTCCATTTTAGCGACGACATGTCATCGTAATTATATAAATTTTGTGTAACGACATGTTGTCGTAAATATTGAATGCGATGACAAGTCGTTTAAAATTTTTTTTTTCTTGTCGTCGCTAATACTGTAATTTTAGCAACGATAAATGTCGTCGCTAATAACCCTTTTTATTGTAGTGAATAGAGAAAATTCTATTTTTCATATTAAGCAGTTTGAGGTAAGTAGATCTTCTACTGCATCACTTAAATAGTAATATGTTTTAAAGGGAGTTTACAGTTTATATATATGTTAATATTGATGTGCTTATATCAAATTTTAAAAGTATTTTATTAGTATGATGTGAACTCTTGTGTTTGTTGTGAACCAACTGAAATATGATAATGGTCAAATCTTTGAAGAATGAGATATTTCAAGATAGGGGACAAGTGAAATGAAAGTTAATAATACAAGACTAACGTTATACAAGAGGGTCCCAATGTAGAAATTAAAGAGATTATTTTAAAAATAGAAATTACTTATAAATTCCTTACTGAACGCAAGGCCATATAGTTCTTATGATACAGGTAAACTAAATATGAAATAAAAGTTTTAGTTAATTGAGTGAAAATGATCGAAGGTTTAATGATGAGTTTAGAGAGCTTATGAATTGAAATTGTAATTTTAAGAATGTGGTTTGAGGATTGTTTAAGTAGTAGACATTAATTTTACATTATGCAATACTATTTTATTTTAAGTGAACGTTTTGGCGGAGTTTTTAGCTGTTAGTTTGAGAGGGCCGTTATATTGCGCCATACTGGGGACGTTCCGCAGCTTTCTCTCCACGGCGGGAAAGTTCCGTTCCATGTCGGAAGCGCTCCGCTCTATTGACTTAATATTTCCTTCGCGTTCCACATCTTCATGTTCCTGCTTATGGGACGGGTCTTGAGCATCTAACTTTGGCAGATAAATCTACTTCATTGTTGGCTCAATTTACAGCGTCCTTTGGAACTCAATCGTTTTCTCCTAGTGTTTGACTTATTGTGACGACAGTTTGAACAGAATTCCGACAAATTTGATCCGAACGGATTGGTGCTCCCACTCCCCTGGCAATTTCGAACAGCTTATGGGGATCCCATGCCAAGTCGTAGAAGCGGACCCATAGATATGAGAAAAGTGCATAATTTATTAAGATTGTATGAGTCTGATTTTTTATCCCTATTAGTATCCTTTCGTTTGTATAATTATTTAACTAAAAAAGGTATTAATAAAAAAAGTAAAAAATATAAATCTGGACCCGTGCATTTTTAAAGGGCATTTATCATCTTTCTCTTTGTAGATTTCTACTTGAAAGGATTAAAGTCCGGGCTCCATTCAGCGTATGGTTAATAGGATAAAAACTGGCCGACTATAACCTGTTCTTTCCCATCATTGTAGGGAAATTAAGTCCCCGTTTCAAATTTTATTGATTTAACCTTTTTTATTTGAACAAAAAAATTTGAACTGTTTGATTTAAATTGTAGTTTAAATTGACGTTTTGATATGCAGTTAAAATTTTAATTTAAATAGAGAATCTTAACCGTAAGTGGCAACGGGAGGTCGGAAAGTAGAGAAAGTCAACAGAAGAAGGCAAAAAAAAAAAAAAAAAAAAAAAAAACACGCAGACTCTAAGTACATACTCATAGTTTTCAAAAGTGTTTTTTTTTTCCCTTTTAAGGCACTTACTAAGTTTTATTTAAATAGAAAACAAAAACAGAAGTACAACGTTTTTTTGTTTTTTTTAAATATTGGTAATCGAATGAAAGAAAAGAGAAGCATAAAACCAGAGGGAGAAAAGTAATAGTAGGCCCGAGAAAAAGACTTTCTATTAAAAAGATTGATTATTTTAAATCTTTTTAATGACTTGGAAGTTTAATGAAGTTCACAACTTTTTTTTTTTTTTTTTTAAATTTGATGTCTTATTTGTAAAACTTTTCAACTTGTTTTTGTATTTCCCTTCTTACCAGTTCACTCCTTCTTTTTTATTTAATTTATTTTATGTTATATTCTTCTTAATAAATAGCGAGTACCCGCAGGAATAGGAAGAGAATTTTAGTGGGTGCTAATTTATTAAAACTCGTTGAGGTTCATTTTATCCTATTTTTCTTCTCTTTGTTTGCTGAAAAGAAAATGAATGATGATAATAGCTTCGGCACACATTAAAAGTAGGTAAAGCAAAATCTCTAGAGAAACCTTTTTTTTTTTTTTTTTTTTTTTGCTAAATTAGTGGTAGAATTAATATGCTTAAATAAACTTATAGGTTGATAACAGAATAGATATTTTATTTCATCAAGTCTCTTTCTCACACAATACACATATAATTTCCAATACAAAGACCTTTATTCTTACTCACTTGCTGAACTAGGTAGCAGTGATTATTATTTTACTTACAATACTCTCATGATCAGATCTTTTGTCTCAGTAGTCTTTATATATATATATATATATATATTTATAGATATATATATATATATATATAGCACATTCTACATATGGAGTTATGCAGAAGCCAACAAAGTGGGCTGCTGATCCAGTATTAGTGCTTGCGATTTTCCGAAAAAAGTGTGCTCGAACCAGTCTGCAGCTCCTTTCCTGGTTCTCGTTAAATTATTGTCACGGTCGATATGGACGAGGCCAAACTTACTGGTAAAACCAGAATTCCATTCAAAAACATCTTGAAATGTCCAAGCATAGTATCCTCTCACGTCTGCCCCAGCCCTGCAGCCAAAATATTAGTTATTGTGTTATTGTATTAGTTTTCACATGTTAATATCAAATAAAAATAATGAACATTCAACATTCTCCGCTTTAACACCAAAGATGATTAGTAATTAACCAAACAATACAAGTATGTGCGTGTGTGTGTGTATATATATATATATATATATGACATTATGTTGGCACATATAGCCAAAGTGAAACAGACTAGGAGTTCCAGTTTGTAATATATATGGTGGGCTTCAGCAATTTCTCAAAGTGACAAAGGATGTTGGGGACAGATGACACCAACAATGTTTTTTTTATTTTTTGAGACTATATATATATTTATACATTCTAATATATATATATATATATGAGAGTTTACAATATTATATTCCAATCGTGGTGTAATATCCTAGTTTCATTAAATGTCATAAATATTTTTATTTAATTTTTTAATTTTTTACAACCGCGCAGCTAAATATCTTACAACTAAAATAATAATACTGTAAAAATTAAAGTAACTATTAAAATAAAACCATATATATATGTGTATATATAAATATATATATATATATATATAGCTAGTGCACATAGCAATTAGAGTGTATTGTACTTCAAATATGTGACAAAAAGTGTCTAAATAAATATTGATGAATATTGGTCTATATAACCAGTGAACCGACTAAATAGAGTGTCTAAATAATACTTCATGGATGATGTACTTTATTATTATTATAAGTACAGTTGCTGAGGTCATTTTGTTGCTAAATATTCTTAATTATGTATGAAAAAGAAAGTACTGATTAAAAAAAAACACAGAGAGAAATCCTAAATACTTATTGAATGCAAATATATATTGGAGTTTACTTTATAGCGTTTAGCAAATGCGACAGATGGTCATGATGGTACTTTATCCTCACGCGATCATCAACCAACCAATCATTTGGAATGAAAGTGTCAAGAATACCCCTTTTAACATCAGGGGTGTCGACAACTCCTGCAATGATAAATCTATATGTTAGGTAAAAATTTGTTAAAATAAAATTAGAGTAAGATAGAAATTTAAACTCATTAATCATATAAATTCACGAAAAACACATATACTTGTGGAATGCATACGTTTTTCAAAATGACTATTTTTTTTAGGTTTTGTTATTTATAAACCGTGCACTACCAAAAAGTTACTAATTAATTTGTTATACGTTCGCATACGTTTGCACTTGCATATTCTTTACTTTTTACATCTTTATCTTTTATATATTTATTTTCCTAATCCTATGTTGTTTCCCAAAAAAAAAAAGGATATGTCTTACCATTCTCAGTGATGTAAAGAGGAGGATTGTTGTATTTCTCTTTCAAGTACAAAACCAAGTCTTCAATTCCCTTTGGATAGATGAGAAGCCAGGATGTTGGAGTCTGCATCAGTGTTTTTGAAATGATTTTTTTTAGTATGTAGAATGATAAATATATAAAAATTTAATAAATTAGATAAATATTGGTTTGCAATTCAATCCTTAAAAAAAAAAAAATCACCCAAAAAAAGGAGAAAATGAGAGAATAAGATTACCTGTGGGCCAATAGGACGTCCATCGCTCCCCTCAACTGTTTCAACAAATATTATCAATATTAAAGAATGCTGACAAATCATAACTCAAGTATTTTTTAATACTGTTTAGCTTACTTGTGAGATTAACATGCATATCATTTGCAGGCCTTGGATTGTGACTGCTTACGTTGTCATTGGAATCATCTGCATATCTTGCAGTATAGTAATTTAAACCTAAGAAATCGTATGACCCTTTTAAAAGTTCTGATTGAGCGTCGGTAAACTTAGGCAATCGATGTCCAACTAATGATCTCATGATTTTTGAGTAGTCTCCAAACACTATGGGATCAAAAACCCTGAATAAACATTATTTTTCAAGTAAGCATTATTTTCCGAAATATGTCTAGTGAATAGGATTATATGTTAGATTTCTTACCATCCATGCATAAAGTCAAGAGCTCTCTTGGCAGCCTTGCGGCTTTCAAGTGTTTGGAATTTCGGTTCCGCCCATTGACTTGTTTCCACTAATCCTATAATTCCGTTTTGAGTTGGCTGAAAGGAATAAAGAAAACGTAATGTTCTATTAGTTCTTCATTAATACCGTGTATTTTATTTTGTTTTCTTTTAAGTATTAAACAATGTATCATATATGTTGTTGGTTCACAAATAGATTAACATGACTAATTAACCTGAAATTTCTTCCGATACAAGTCTACCACATCCGCATGTGCAAGAAGTATGTGATGAACTACTTTATAAGGTTCGGTTCCCGAGTCCCCATTTGGACAATTTCCAGCATAATCAGAACAACGACCTGGTGCCATAACACCACTCTCATACCCTTGAGTTGAAAAAATGTATGGCTCATTGAAAGTGGTCCAGTGTTTCACTCTATCACCATATTGTGCGAAGCACAGATTCGCATAATCGTGATAATCCTCCCTATTATAAATAAATTGAATTATATGAGATGCAAATTATAGGCATATATATGAATGTATGTTTCTTTCAGTGTACAAAGTCATAAATGTGTCCTATGAATATATATTGAATGTCTTACACAATATCCGGGCTTAAAAATCCACGATATTTATCTTCAAGAGCTTGTGGAAGATCCCAATGGAACAAAGTCACAATAGGTTTTATACCTGCATAATATATTAATGTGCAGAAGGAAATTAAACAGCTTGAATATTAAGAATGTTGACAAATCGTTTAAATGCTATAATAGATGTCAATGGAACGTAACCATTTTGCAAGAGATCGTCTATGAGATTGTTATAGAAGTTGATTCCATCAAAGTTCACTCCTCCACTTATTGTCCCTCCTATAAACAAAATTAAGATTCAGTTTGTGGAAATATCAGCAATTATAATTTGGAGAATAGTGTGTATATATATGTGTGTGTATATGTATAATACATATATATATATATATATATATATTGGTTTCACTGTATTGCCCATTGTCAGATAATTACTTACTTGGTAATATTCTAGACCAAGAAATGGAGAGTCTAAAGGACTCGAAACCGAGCTGCTTTATCATGCGGATGTCATCCTGTAAAAATTGCAATCATATTATTTATATCGATGACTTTCGGATTTACTACCTAAGAAAGGAAATCAATGGTTTTTCCAATGGGACACCGATGATTTTTTATTTTTGTTTAATTTTTGCGACGAAGATATTTGATGAAGTAACAAATATTATGTTCGTTAATCTTTTAATATATATTAAAAAAAACACTAGTATTAAGAACGTGAGTTGGAGTAGAGACGATCATCTCTATACTTCGTTTAACATGCATGTCTTATTATATAATCTGACCACTATTTTGTAAAATAAGATTTAGCAAATGTTCAATATTATACATGTCTTAATAAACAATTATCCTTTTTTTAAAATAATTTACAAGATGGAAAAACTAATATAAAAACTAACTAGCACATCCCAATTAAATTGAATCTACTAGCAATCTGATCTTGTACCTAAGTCTCTACTGTTATTAAATTACTGTTATTAAATTTTTGCTTTAAATTCGAAGACAAGAAAGGTAAATTTTTACAAGATGGACAAATTCGGTTTTTACTTTAAATTTGTCTTAGTCATTTATATGTGCATGTCTTCAATAAAAAGAGTAAAATCAAATAAAGCGTTGGTATTCGTATGTTTGTTATACAGTAAACATTTCATACCTTGTACCGATGGTAGAAATCATTGGCAACTTCTCCAGATGAGCCATCAGGTATTTTTTCTGTCAAGTTTTTAGAGAAATAAATAATGAAATCAATTTTATGTATGTTTGTCATATCTTATAATTATAAATATAATAAAAACAACGTTGATATTCTGCAGACCTGGATGTTCCTTCGTGAACGTATCCCAAATACTCGGTTCTTTGCCGTATTCTTCACTTGCTGCTCCTTCATACTTCGACAAGAAAAATCAAATAATACATTAATTAAAACAGAAAAATGAGTAACACGTATATAACATAACAATTATTTATATGAAATGTTCATAATTAATAAGCAAAATCTTGATATTGATTTGTTAAGGTCGATTTGGCCAGTTAATAATAGTTTGCAAGTTTCTATATATATATATCTTGATCATCTACCTGATAAGCACTCGATGCTGTCCCAAATATGAAATCGGGTGGAAAACATGACCTATTCAGTGATAAACATTCCTCGTTTAGTTGATCTTGAACACCTTTGCTGCATGTGAGCAAGTAGGCCACAATCACCAGATTGAAAAGAACAATTAAGTGAGTTCTCATTTTTAACTCTCAACGTATGGTACTCTTACGAATTCGAAGTGGTCTATTTATACACCAACAAATACAAGTAAGGGACATATAGGCAAATAACCCCTTTTCAAGGATTTAAAAAAAAAAAAATGGCAGTTTTTCTAAATAAAAATAACCGAAGTTTTGTAAAATTAGTAAAATGGCAATTTTTTTTATTAACTTAGTAGTTAATCACTGATTAATTTAGTCATTAAACAATCACTGACTGATTTAGCGGTCAGTCACTAATTGACTTAAGTTTATCACTGATTAACTCGATAAGTTATCATTATTAATAAATACTACTTAATAATTAACTGAAATTAATTAGTAATTAATAAATTTCAATAAATAAATTACATGTATATTAATGATAAATCATTGGTAAATCATAATAACGAATCGGTCAATCATGGATGACTACTGGAAAAACGGCCATTTTGCTAAAATAAAGAAAGTTTGGCATTTGTTCAAAAATTAAAAAGTTCGGACATTTATTTAAAAATGTGATAAAAAAGCCATTTACCTAATTTTCTCAACAAGATAATGGAAAGACCAAGTAATTTTTTTCTCAAAAAATAATTTTAAAACTAAGGGTTAATTCCACAAATGGTCCTCAAGGTTTGACCTCAATCACACTTTGGTCCTCGACTTTTAAAACATCGCACAGTTGGTACATGAGATTTTACTTTGTTTCAATTTTGGTCATTCTATTTGCTAAGTATTAAATATTTGACATAATATGTAGAAATTAGATATCAGAATTAGAATCATCCAAAATTTAGAGGCTAAATCAATACAAAATCTAAAAGTTAATTTCGACATATAGTTCCTAAGATTTAGCTACTTTCAATTTTAATATGTAATTTATACAGATTTCGTCAAATATTTAACACCAAGTTAACTGAAGGACTAAAACATAAACAAAATAAAATCTCAGGACTAACTGTGGGACGTTTTAAAGGTTAAAAACTAAAGTGATGTTGAACATAAATCTCAGAAACTATTTGTGAGATTATCCCTAAACATAAAAGGATGCTTTTTATTGAATTAATATATTATAAATGAATTGTTTTAACCTTTAAATCACTAATAAAAACACACAAACGTAATAAAGTATATCTTATTACTCATGAAAACTTCTAGATGTGCCACGTGATAATATCATGAATGCATGGTTAGCGTGAAGGGAGGCCATCCGTTTCGCTACATAGGTGTGTTTTTTCTTTTCTTTTTTCTCTTTTTCTTTCTTTCTTTCATTTTTTTTTTTTTAACTTGAGATAGAAGTTGCGAACTCTACCTATTAGTCAGATGTAAAATTAGCACTAAATTGGCTACCTAGGTGTAAGTTTAGCTAAATATTGTGGTTCTCTTTATTATTTATTCGTTTTTTTAACATTTTTCTTTTTATTTTTAATGAGACAATGTTATGCTAACTTACATGCATGAAATGGATCTATTTTAACACTAACTTTTGACTTAACATCATAAACTTTTGCGTGAATTTCTTTTTCTTTTTCTTTTCTTTATAGAAGGAGCTCTTCTTTTTTAAAATGGACTTATTATACTGACACTTTCTGTGTTTTGTCAAAATAATAAAGACACCTCTTTTACCGAAACTAATCACGTCAACACTCTTTGACTTTTAAAAAAAATTACACTGACACCCCCACTGTTAGTTCACTGTGAGTTGACTGTCAATCTTGACCATTAAATTTTTTAAAATGCCAAAAATGCCCCTCTATTTATCAGAAAATGTTTCTAAGTTGTATATAATATTAGAAAAGACGTTTATATTTTTCTTTTTCTTTTTCTAAAAATCATTTGTTTTAGTAATGTTCTCCATCCACTAAACTAACACATTAAATTAAAAACCATGTAATATTTTGGTGCATTATTAGGACCAACTATATTACAATGAAATTAATTTAATTGAAAGAATAAATTAAATGGGACAATTTTATCCAAATAATGAAACAAAAATATAGTTTAAATTAAACTTAAAACAAATATAATATGAAAAAATTAAACGCATTAGTTTTTTTTAACAGTGTGCAGTATGTGTGCGTGAGGGAGTCTAAGAGAGTAAAGAAAAAGGAGTTGTACGTAGAGAAGGGAAAGAAATAGAAATTAGTGTATTTGAAGTCAAGAGTAAGAACTATTTATTTTTCTTCATTATTATTATTATTTCTCATTATGTTATATATGCAGAAAATTGCTTTCCAATGAAGAACCTAAGAAAACTATCTCTCCACAAAAGAAGGGGTCCTATAGACACCAAAAGATGTGAGACCTATTGTTCATACTTTCAAAAAATGGGTTCTATAGACATTGAAAATTGTGAGACTTGTTCGCACTCTTTAAGAATGGATCTCATAAACATTGAAAGGTGTGGGACTTGTAAAAATCCTTAAATTATCATTGAGATTTGGGTTTCTCTTAGAAGCCTATAAAAGTTGAGAATGATTATACAAATTTAGGATTTAGAAGTTTAATAAATACATTCATGTGGGTGGTGTAAAAATCTTTTGATTGTCATTAACATTTGAGTTTATTTTAGAAGCATATAGAAGTCGAAAATGATTATACAAATCAAGGATTTAATGTCCTATAGACACAATATGTCTGAGACTTAGGTTGACATTTTGCCAAAAAATTCATGAATGGTCTTACATCATATCACGGTCGAAATTGATTTCTAGACAAATGAACTGGTCCATGGCCGAAGGAAATAAACCATGCATATAAATATATATAAATAATGCATGCAGATTCATTAGTGCATGCTTAATGGAGGAAAATAAATAAATAAAAATAATGATTAATGCCTGCTTTCATCGAGATTCACGTGGATCACTGGACTGCAACAAAAACAAAATATATAAATAATGGAGGAAAAGGATTTGACGACGTACAGACACCGAGTGCATGGCTCTTCATGCAACAGATTTGGAAAGAAATAATTGACATTATACTGAGAAAGGCTCCAGCGGGCCTTGGCCTAAAACCCATTGATTGAAGAAAGAACAAATTTCTAGTTTAATTATTGTTTTTCCCAACTCTATATATATTTTTGCCATTGTGTAATATTTTAATGTCACTACGGAAAATAACCTATAGGATACGAAAGATAAATCACAGGATACGAAAGTTAACCCATAAGTTACGAAAAATGACATGTAGGTTATAAAAAAATAACCTAAAGGTTATTAGTGTCACTTAATTGATAGCATTTTTGAAAATTCTCCTCGAAAAAAAAAGGGATAAACATGGGCCTTGTAGCCCAAATTAAGTGATGGTCGTCTTCATAATCAATTCCAAGCTTTTCGTAACGTACATAAAGGTCTCTTACAACAAACTGTAGTTCAACATTCAAATTAAAATTTATTAGAGAACTGTAGAATGACAATTCAAACCATTAACAATAGTTTAAATCTTTAATTTTTAGTATTGATCCCTCTCTCTAAATTCAAACAACTGAATTGTTTTCTACAATGAATTGTTTGGTAAAGATATTTTGGGATGTTAAAAATTATGAAATTTCAGTGGAAGTTTCTGAAATATCGGAGAAATTTCGCAAGCTTTTCGAAAAATTTCAGCAAATATCGGAATACATCAGGAAAAATATCAACATTGTAGAGTTTCTAGTGTATTATTTTTGTACAAACTTACTTATTTATGTATCTTTTTCACGTTTATCATTTTATAAGATATTTAAAAGAAATATTAAGTGTTAAAATAAATCTTCCTAGTTTCCATAATTTTTTTTTGATATTTCCACCGATATTAATATTTTCTCTGAAATTTCTTAAAATTTGGAGTACCGATATTTGCACCGATATTGATATTTTCATTCTTAAAAAAAACCGTATATTTCTCATTTATCACATTTGATAATGAAATTTTGTCAATATTCTCTAATAATTGCAATGCTATTGGCCGTAATAAGCCAATTGTCAATGGAACAAATGCCTTGATTATGTTGCCCAAAAAAAAAAAAAGGGAAAAATATAGCTCAATCAAAAAAATCTAAATTTGTCCGGAAAGTGAAATTTTGATGAGAATACGGACAAAAGTAACAACCAAAGGATGAAAAATCTAGTCGTGGTATATTGGTAGTTTGTAAGTCTTTCGAATAATTAAAATTTATTTTAGATATGTTAATAAGCTTGTTATTGCTCAGGTTCAATACCCATCTATTCCTTGCAGACTCCAATACCATGGAAGGGAAATGCTATTATCTACTAAAATTTGTGAGGACATATATCTATGATCACCAAAGAATTTCAGTTTGTCAGGCTTCATTGATTGCTAGAACGATTACAGATAAATTAGGGAAGCAACCTTGGAAATTATCTAATCTCTTAACAAAAAATTGACTCAATTTTATCTAATCTCTTTCGACTCTTTTATTGTGGGGAAAAAACGATAGTCTTGTTTGTCACGTTTGTTCCTAAGAATTTCTCATGTTCTTTAATAATTGTGCGACTTACTCATAATAATGCCATTTCAGATGGTTTGGTGAAAGTTGCATGACAAATATATGCAATTGCAAGTTAAATTGACGTTGGTTTGTCAAATGATTTCCTTAGTACAAATTGAATGAGGTTAAATTGATGTTGGTTTGTAATTTAATGCTTGCAAGGACCATAACCAACTAGAAAATTAGGCTATCTACTTGGCAATAGCAAGTTCATCTTTACCACTAATTATCGCCAATATTAAAGACTAATAAATTGCAAATTAAAGACTATGAATCTATTGAGGACCCAAAAATCTTAAATCAATGTTGCGCTTAATTGTGAGAACAAACACGTGTATATTTTTTGGGATTATTAGTATTTCATGAGTCATTAGCTGCATGTAAGAACCATTGAATCACAAAAATCGACCAATCCAAAACAGACAGCATCCAATCATTATTAAATTTTAATTAATGTACAATTTAGGCGGTTTTTTACTGTCATTTTTACGGACGGCTTAATTCACAA